GCCCTGCCCAGAGAGAAGGAATCTAGAGTGGCAGTCTGGCTACAGCGGCTTTGCCGAGCTGTGGTGGCCTCTGCCTACTTCGAACTTCCCAGTGGCTTTGTTTACACCGTGAGGGGAAAACTGCCTATTCAAGCCTCAGTAATGGCGGATGATCCTCCCCTCACCAAGCTTGAGCGTCCCAGGTTGACTTCAGACTGCTGTGCTGGCAGCAAGAATTTTAAGCCAGTCGATCTTAGCTTGCTGGGCTCTGTGGGGATGGGATCTGCTGAGCTAGACCACTTGTCTCCCTGGCTTCAGCCCCCTTTCCAGGAGAGTGAAAGGTTCTGTCTTGCTGGCATTCCAGGCACCACTGGGGTATGAAAAAAATACTCCTGCAGCTAGCTCCGAGTCTGCCCAAACGGCCACCCAGTTTTGTGCTTGAAACCAGGGCCCTGGGGGTGTAGGCACCTGAGAGAATCTCCTGGTCTGCAGGTTGCGAAGACCATGGGAAAAGCAGAGTATCTGTGCCAGAATGCACCATTCCTCACTGCACAGTCCCTCATGGCTTCCCTGACCCCTTGTGCTTCAGCCCCACCTTGTTTCAGCTCCTCTTCTGTGGACTGCACCCACTGTCTAACCAGTTCCAGTGAGATGAGCTGGGTACCTCGGGTGGAAATGCAGAAATCACCCACCTTCTGTGTTGATCTCACTGGCAGCTGCAGACCAGGGCTGTTCCTATTTGGCCATCTTGCCAGCCACCATATAATATTATTCTTAAAGTCCTAGCCTACTGACAAATAGCTGGATCATCTGTGGGCATGCCTTGTTTGCTTTTCCTCCTGATTCTTAGTCTTATTTTCCTGCTTCTTTGAACTGTACATGCACACGCACACACAGGTATAAAGTTTAGTGTGCTGAACATTGTGTATACAAGGTGCATAGTGTCTGGGTTGGTATTCTTTATTCCCCAGAGAAAAAGAATCTATCCTCTGTAAGTTATATTAGGTGAGGGGAAAATCACCTCAAACCAATCAAGAATTGAGTGGGGGAATCGAGAGGCTCTGGTGAGGAGTAGGTGCCATGTGCAGTTGGTGAGTGAGGAGGGAGAAGGGAGGGAAAGAGAGGAGAGCGAAGAAAAAAAAAAGAATTGAGCTGGGTCAGGGCTAGTTTGCCGTTTTACTTAGATTCAGTCCACCTCTGCTCTGAAATCTCTTGAGAGTGATACCTTTTAGTTTCAGGGCCCACACGTACAGAATGAAGTATTCCAGGTGTATCCATGTCTCTCTTCTCTATTGACACTCAGTCCCTAGGTTATGTCATTTAGGTTTTCATGGCTTTAAATTCAGTTCTGGGCTGTTGATTCCCAGATCTGAATCTCCAGCCTTGACCTTTCCTAGCAGGAAACAAAGGACACATTCAAACAGGATACCTGGAGAAAATTTAACAAAGGCAATATATAAAAAGGTGTGGGCAGGATCAAGGAAAACCAACAGGAATGGTAACATTCCCTGGGGCTATCAACAGATGGGAACTGTTCCACTCCTGGGTCTAAAGGGGCAGAGGGAGGGAGCACTTACCAGACCTAGAGAGTAGCTATACTGATTATTTCTTGTCTGAGATGATTGGGACCAGAAGTGTTTCAGGTTTCAGATTTTTTAGGATTTTGGAATATTTGCATATACATAAGATATCTTGGGGGTAGGACCCAAGTCCAAACGCAAACTTCATTTGTGTTTCAGATACACCATATACACATAACCTGAAGGTAATTTTACATACTGTTTTAAATTATTTTTTTTGTGCACAAAACAAAGTTTTTACTGCAACCCATCATCACATGAGGTCAGGTGCGGAATTTTCCACTTCTTCTAGCATTGTGTCAGTGCTTAAAATGTTTCAGATTTTGAAACACTTTGGATTTTGGATTTTCACATTAGAGATGTTCAACCTTTGTTAGGTGAGCCTTCCAACAGGAATAGTGGCCTTTGATAGAGGGACCCTGCTAATCTACATGACCTGGTAGAGAAAGAGCTGGGGGAAGAAATCTCACCCTTCTCACTTTCTTTGATCTCCTGCTAAAAACTCCCATTAAACAAACTCAGTTGGAGGTTAGAAGCAAAGGACATTGATGCAGTCCATAAAGGTCACCATTTGGGACACAGAGATAAGAGTAGAGAGTCGATCTGGAATGGTCAAACGGAAGCACACATATATGCAACAATTTTATATTCATGAATGTCTAATAGGTATCTCAATAGATGGATATGTTAGGGAATGGAGTAGAGTGGAAAAGAGTCCTGTGAACCAGGTGCCAAATTAAAGATTATGGAGAAGAGTGATAAGAAGAGTTAGAAAATTATAGCAAAGAATAGTAGTAGAGGGTGACATATATACTGAGCTTCAAAAGGCGTGTTTTTACATAACACTGGTGGAATTGTGGTCTACAAGAGGCATTGCATTGGCGAAAGCATGTAAGCCCCACAGAATGTGGGGGCAGAGAAGAATCAATACCATCCACTAGAGAGGGCTACAGGGGAAGTGAGGTCTTTCTGGGGAAAGCCAGGTGCCAGTCAAAACCAGAGAGTAAAAGAAATCTTCAACAGGCTGGGCGTGGTGGTTCACATCTATAATCCTAGCACTTTAAGAAGTTGAGCCAAGAAGATCACTTGAGCTCAGGAGTTTAAGACCAGCCTAGGTCACATGGTAAGACCCTCCCACCCTCCCCCCAACACCATCTCTACAAAAAATAAAAAATTAGCTGGACATGGTGGTGAGCTTCTGTGGTCTCAGCTATTTGGGAGGGTGAGGTGAGAGGATCCCTGAGAGGCTAAGACTGCAGTAAGCCATGATCATGCTACTGCACTCCAGCCTAGATGACAGTAAGACCCTGTCTCAAAAAGAAAAGACACCTTTGAAACCGCCTTTGCAAAATTATGACCGAGACAGCAAAAGAGATCTAATTTAATCGACTCCATCTTGCTTCTAATCTCCAAGCTGTCCTTTTCATTCTTGGGCAGAGGCCCAACTAACTTTGGGAAAAACTTAGTTTATAGTTTAGAACAAACATGATAACAGCCCTTTCCCAAAGCAGACCTCCTTCTTGCCTACAGAGTAGATTGCATTTGTAGGACTAACATTAGCCATAAGATTAGAACTTATGGCTTAGGAGTCATGCAGCTGGAGGTTACAAGATTCTGACTGTCTCTAAACTGCTCCTAAGATCAGTGCTTGAGATATTTTGCAGACCCTGCACATGATGAATCAGCTGGCACTACCTAGATTGATAAACTGGCTCATCTGATCTTGTGGCCCCCCCCCCCACCTAGGAACTGATTCGGTGCAGGAGGACAGCTTTGACTCCCTATGATTTCATCTCTGACCAATCAGCACTCCCGGCTCACTGGCTTTCCCACACCTACCATGTTGTCTTTAAAAACTCTGCTACCCGAATGCTCAGGGAGACTGATTTGAGTAATAAAAAAACTCTGGGCTCCCGCACAGCTGGCTCTGTGTGAATTACTCTTTGTCTATTGCAATTCCCTGTCTTGATGAATCGGCTCTGTCTAGGCAGCAGGCAAGGTGAACCCCTTGGACATTTACACCTTCAACAGTGGCGTTTGTCTTGTTTATTGATTTTTTTAGAAGTTATGGTTGGAAGGTTTGGGAGAGAATGGGAAGAGTCCAGGAAAGCACTGAACACAATGGAGATTAAAGTACAGGAGAGGCTGAGCAGTGGCTCACGCCTGTATTCCCAGCACTTTCGGAGGTTGAGGCATGATGATACAGACCTGCAGTCCCAGCTACTCGGGAGTTTGAGGCAGGAGGATTGCTTGAGCCCAGGAGTTTCAGGATGCTGTGAGCTATGATAGTGCCACTGCACTCCAGCCTGGGTGACAGAGTGAGTCCTTGTCTCCAAAAATTAAGTACAGGAGAAACTCAAAGGTGTTCAATTGGTGATGGTACTACCACGTAACACGACCAGTGTTTTTGACTTCTACAATGAAGAGTGTTAAGGTAGCAGCATTTGAGATTGAGGGAGCAGGAGTGCTAACATCCTGCAGGCTCAAGACAGTGCCACGCAATTGTCCTTACTTTAAATGCCAATAACATCCCCCACTGATGATTAATTAATCCTTATATCACTAAAGATTACAGAAATATGACATATGATGGTATTATCTGGTCTTGAGGATCCAAATGGAATGCTGATGTCACATCCAGGTAGTCACAGTGTCTTTGGCTTGTGGTAGCCCTGAAAGAAGTGGTATTTTCTTGGGATAGGAACATGGTGGTTTAGGCTAGATATAGCTGGAGGGAGGGAGTGCTCCCTATCAGTGGATATTTTTTTTTTTTTTTTTTTTTTTTTGAGACGGAGTCTCACGCTGTTGCCCAGGCTGGAGTGCAGTGGCGCGATCTCGGCTCACTGCAAGCTCCACCTCCTGGGTTCACGCCATTCTCCTGCCTCAGCCTCCTGAGTAGCTAGGACTACAGGCGCCCGCCACCGCGCCCGGCTAATTTTTTGTATTTTTAGTAGAGACGGGGTTTCACTGTGGTCTCGATCTCCTGACCTTGTGATCCGCCCGCCTCGGCCTCCCAAAGTGCTGGGATTACAGGCTTGAGCCACCGCGCCCGGCCTATCTGTGGATATTTTTATATGACAAATTAACACTCTCAAGTTTGTTAACATTCATTTTTTATATTCATTATAAACAGGGTGATATGGTTTGGCTACGTGCCCATCCAAATCTCATCTTGAATTATAGTTCCCATAATCCCCATGTGTCATGGGAGGGACCTGGTAGGAGGTAATTGAATCATGGGGGCAGGTTTTTCCCATACTGTTCTTGAAGTAGTGAATAAGTCTCACAAGATCTGATAGTTTTATAAATGGGAATTCCCCTACACAAGCCCTCTCTTGCCTGCCACCATGTATGATGTGACTTTGCTCCTCATTCGCCTTCTGCCATGATGGTGAGGCCTTCCCAGCCATGTGGAACTGTAAATCAATTAAACCTCCTTTATAAATTACCCAGTCTCAATTATGTCTTTATTAGCAGCATGAGAACAGACTAATACACAGGGTTAAACTAAGAAGAATTGACTTGAATTACAGACTGGCTGTCTATCACATTGAGCATCGTCAGAGGGAAAGATGTGTAGACAATGCTATACAAAGATTTTCTTAGAAACATTTCTAATGGAACTATTTCATATTGGAATCGCAGATTAATCAGTGAATGTTTTGTGTGTGAAAAGGAACCTCAGAGACTACCTTGAAACTACTGTCATGCTTCTGAATACTTCAATGTAGAAATACAAAGTGTGCTTCCATTTTGGTCACTCATACCATGCAAGTAAATGAATAGCTGAATACCTTTGATTTTACATGTAATTATGACCTTTAGAAATAACAGCTGGTTTAAAAATGAGCCAAAGCATAAGTAAAATGGGCAACGGATATAGTTCAGTTCCCAAAAAACATTTATAAGAAAACGTTGTGTTTCCTTTGCAGCTTTCAGTCTTAGAGAAAAGACTTCATCATCTTATATGTGATGCGACTTTCCGGGCTCCTGACATCTTTATAGAGTTTGACTGGAATTTCCTTCTCTTGAAAATGAATGGGCATTTTCTTGCTCTCCACACTCATAAGCTTCACTCCCAGGGGGCCCAAGTTTACATAATCCTATGGTGAACAGACACAAAAAAGAATAGGAGAGGTGATTCAGCAAATTACCAGCTTTGATAGATTAGGCTTGCTTTATTACAGTTGGCCTTTATCTGACAGAGTTCATTGCCCCCTAATTGCCTGATGCTGTGTAAAACATGAAATATGAGAGCTACTATAAATGAGAAAAAAACAAAACACTCAGTAAACTTATATACCCAGTAAGGCATACACAGTAGGAAAGATCTCCTAAAAAGCAGAGAGCAAGGCTAGAAAGCTTGTCTCATAGTGGGTTAATGGGGGAGGGATGCTGGCTATAGTTAGTGCAAAACTACCTACAGTCTGTGAAAGGAAAATAAAAACATGGGACCCCAATTCACTTTGCCAAAAGGAAAAAATTAAGCTGAAAGCTGAGTCATGTAAGCAACTGCCTTTCCTTTTGTTCCTAAGCAGATACATACAGATAAAAGGTTAACTATCTCCACAGGTAGCTACTCTATGTTCACCTGATCTTTTGTAAAGTGTGAGGTGAATACATAGTTGATGGTTCCCCTACCTGCTCCTTTTCTCTTGCAATATGTGGATGACTATAACTTCCTGCTTTCCCCTCCAGCCCACTTTTCTCCTCTAAATATTGAAGGCCTCCAAGTCATCTTTGGAGACAGGCACAGACCACACACTGTTTCTGTGATTTCGAGGTGTGTTTTTTTTTTTTTTTTTTTTTCTCCCAGGTATTATCCTTAACATTGGCAAAATCAACTTCTAAATTGATTGAGACCTGTCTCAGCTACTTTTGGTTTACAAGTCTAAGATATCAACAAACAGAATTAGAAGTCTAACTGACATGAAATCCATAGCCAACCCAAAACTGGGTGGACAGAGCTCACGCCCTACCCAATGTCCCTTCCTCCAGGAAGTCTCCCATGCCATAACTCTTGCTTTTTAATTCCTTCGACACATTACTTTAGCAAACCTCTCCCAGGTGTTGACTATATGCCAGGCCCTGTATCAAGTGCTGGGGTGCAATGATAAGCACAGACTGATCAGGGACACAGGTACAGGTGGTCTGTTTACTCTTATATGGTAATTGTTGATTTTCTTACCTGTCCTCTACAAGTCTATAAGTGATTTGGGTGCAAGGCCTGGTGTATAGGCATATTTGAGATTTCATTTCTTGCTGTTCTCTCCCTTAAATGCACAAGCATTTAACAAGGACCTGGCATGTTGTGGGGTTCTCAATAAATATTTATTTGAGTTTAGAAGAATCAAATAATGAAAAAGGAAGGTGATGTCTTATTTCTCAAAATACATATAATTCTATTTAGCTTTCAAAATATGTAGTTGTGATAAATGAAAGATAGGAAAAAAGCAAGTTGATGGAGACCTACCACGTATTTCAGAATCACTGGGAAGAGGATTCTCAAGTGATACACCATGGCCACAGCAGTTTGACTACATCAAAAACTTTCATGGAAAGTAAGGTCTTTCATTCAACCAAATGGTATGCAATTTCGGGATTTTGTAGACAACTGTCCACTAGCCTGAGATCATCAAGACATACCAGGAGTCATGATTCCAAGATACTCATGGAGGTGTTTCAGTGCTAGAGGAACTAGAACTTTAGTCTTTAAATAATCACTTGATGGCAGCAGGATTGAATTGTAGTTAGTTAAAATGGTTTGTGTTGGTTTATTCAGTTTCTTCTGCTTTCTTATATCATTTTTTCCACTACCAGACTTTAAGTTCTAGGAGAGCTTTTAAAGTACCAAGAGGAAAAATAACAAGGGATGGCTATGGAAGTAACTGGAATGTACTAGAAAGAAGTTTTAAAATTAAAAGGCTTAATATTCCAGGTTTTAATGAATGGTATATGTGCAATCTGTACTTTCCAAAGATAGCCTAATTCATATCCTATTCCAAGTTCCTTCTCTTACAATGTGATACTGACCTTCCTCCATCAAGATGTAGGAGCTATGTTCCTTCCTCTTGGATGGAACTTTGTAACTACATCAACCAGTAGAATATGATGGAAGTGACAGTGCATGATTTCCATAAAACTTTCTTTCTTTCTTTTTCTTTCTTTCTTTCCCTTTCTTTTCTCTTTCCTTTTTTTTCTTTCCTTTTCTTTTTCTCTTTCTTTTCTTGCTTTCTCTCTTTCTTTCTTTTTCTTTCTTTTCTTTCTCTCCCTCCTTCCTTCCTTCCCCTTCCTTCCTTCCTTTTCTTTCTTTCTTCTTTTCTTTCTTTCTTTCTTTCTTTCTTTCTTTCTTTCTTTCTTTCTTTCTTTCTTTCTTTCTTTCTTTCTTTCTTTCTCTCTCTCTCTCTCTCTCTCTCTCTTTCTTTCTTTCTTTCTTTCTTTCTTTCTTTCTTTCTTTCTTTCCCTCCCTCCCTTCCCTCCTTCCTTCCTTCCTTCCTTCCTTCCTTCCTTCCTTCCTTCCTTCCTTCCTTCCTTCCTTCCTTCCTTTCTCTTCTTCCTTTCTCTTTCTTTCTCTCTCTCTCTTTCTTTCTTTTGAGACAGAGTCTCACTCTGTCACCCAGGCTGGAGTGCAATGGTGCTATCTCTGCTCATTGCAACCTCTGCTTCCCAGGTTCAAGCGATTTTCCTGCCTCAGCCTGCCAACTACCTGGGATTACAGGCACGCACCACCATGCCCAGCTAATTTTTTTTTTTTTTTGAGACAGAGTCTCGCTCTGTCGCCCAGGCTGGAGTGCAGTGGCGCGATCTCGGCTCACTGCAAGCTCTGCCTCCCGGGTTCATGCCATTCTCCTGCCTCAGCCTCCCAAGTAGCTGGGACTACAGGCTCCTGTCACAATGCCCAGCTAATTTTTTTGTATTTTTAGCAGAGACGGGGTTTCACTGTATTAGCCAGGATGGTCTTCATCTCCTGACCTCGTGATCCACCCTCCTCGGCCTCCCAAAGTGCTGGGATTACAGGCATGAGCCACCGTGCCCAGCCTAATTTTTGTATTTTTAGTAGAGAGGGGGTTTCACCATGTTGGCCAGGCTGGTCTCAAATTCCCGACCTCAGGTGATCCGCCCGCCTCAGCCTCCCAAAGTGCTGGGATTACAGACATGAGCCACCACAGCCAAACTGCTGCTTTTATCTTGGTCTCTAGGATTGCTTATTTTGGGAGAAGACAGACACTATAACAAAGGAAATTCAAAACACCCTGTGGGGAGGCACATGTGAAGAAGAAGTGAGGCCCTCAGTTTAGCCAGCATCAACATGCTAGCCATATGAACAAACCACCTTGGAAGTAGACTTCTGCCTCAACCAAGCCTTCAGATGGGTGCAGCCCTAGCCAACATGTGGTTGCAACTGACTGAGAGTCCACCAAGTGAGAACTGTCTAGTGGAGCCCTTCCTAAATTTCTAACCAACAGTAACTATTATCCCTAAGGGAGAATAGTTATTGTTATAAGCTACTAGGTTTTTGGGATTGTTATGTAGCATTAGATAACTTACTTTGTATACTATTAATGAAGGCCTATAAAGGAATATAGGAAGAAAACTGGGCAAGAGTAGGAGTGAAAATGGTATCCAAATGAGAGATATGAATGGTGGGCCAATTTTACTAATAATTGCAAATGGAATTTTCAATATCCATATTTTAGGTTAATTTTCTCAATTAATAAAACAGCATTTTCTTGGTAGTCAAAGTAACGTTCTTATGAATCTTACCTTGAAATCCTTCTCATCCTCATATAGTAAGTACTTCATATCAGTGTCCCCAAACTCTGTGCATGAGTTTTCCTCTTTATCTGTCTTTACATACTGGAGATCTTCGATGCTATTTTCATGACTAAGATGTAAGGTACTGCTTTCATCTGATGAGGACATCAAGTCTCTACTTTCTACTTCTATGGGTTGCAATTCTGACTTCTCTTCTTGGATGAATACAAAGGAATTAATTATGTATACATTTTGAACATATAAAAATAAAAATGCAATTCATACTTTGTCACATTTTTAATTGGATAGAACTTTGAGAACTGCAAATGTAGAATTTATGTATTATAGTAAGAGCGAGTCCCATTTGTAGAAACTCCAAGTTGTATTTCTTTCTGTTAGCTAATAAGTTACAGTAATTATATTGGTGCCTATGTATATGTTGTCATTTTGGTTGGCTAAATAGGGCCCTAAACCTTGCCAGTGTAGATAGCAGCCTCATCCCTCTCCGCCAGTATTTATTTAATTTACTGTGAAACATAGTGACCTTCATTTGAAAGTGGTACTACAGACAGGAGATAGATTAGGACAAGCACTGCAAGAGGAAAAATTGAGAGAAGCTGGCAGGTAACTAGTCTCTGAATAACTTTTGTATGTGGGGCACCTGCTTACAATAGTTAAGTGTATTTTAAATAGAAAAACAAGAGTTTGAAAAAAATCACCATCATTATTGCAATTAAATAATACCTATATGTGTTTCTGGCAATTCCAAAGGCATTTCTTCAGGTGGCACTTCTAGTCCAGCAGCTTGGGTAAGATATAGTCGCCTAAAAGAACAAATAAGAAAAACAGTCTATCAGTCAATAAATATTGTATTGCATGCTTACTAGGGTCTATCTCTCTACTAGGTGCTAGAAATGCATAATGAAAAATGATACATAATTTCTACCCTGAGGAGCATAAAGTCCAGTGGGGTGACAGACAGCCTTACAGCATTTTTAAGTCATGGTGTGTACCATGATGGGTAATTAGCATAATGTGAGAATGCTGGGATGCAGAAAGCAGCAGCACCTGAGTCAGCTTTAGGAGGAAGCAAAGTTTTCCTGGATGAAACCTGAGCTTAGTCTTTGATATGGTTTAGCTAGGCCCCACCCAAATCCCATCATGAACTGTAGTTTGCATAATCCCCATGTGTTGTGGGAGAGGGACCCAGTGGGAGGTAAGTGAATTACGGGGGCAGTTACCTCCATGCTGTTCTCATGTTAGTGAGTTCTCATGAGATCTGATAATTTATAAGGGGCTTTTCCCCAGACTTCGCTCTGCACTTCTCCTTCCTGCTGCCATGTGAAGAAGGTCATATTTGCTTCTCCTTCTGCCATAAATCTAAGTTTCCTGAGTCCTCCCCAGCCTGGTGGAACTGTGAGTCAGTTAAACCTCTTTCCTTTCTAAATTATCCAGTCTCGTGCAGTTTTTTTATCGCAGCATGAGAATGGACTAATACAGTCTTGAACCTGGAGGTGCTTGCCAGGGAAGAGCTAGGGGTGAAAGAAGAGCATTCCAAATAAGGGAATAACACACTTAAAGCTCAAAAAAAAATGAGAGTGAGCATGGCACCAGTCAGGTCACTGTTGTAGTATTTCAGGTGTGGAATGATAGTGGCCTGAAAGACATGGTTTTGAAATGAAGAGAGAAAGAGAAAGCGAGCAGGAATCCAAGATGCCATCTAGGTCCTGGCTTTCGCTTAGTGATAAGCTTCACCTACAAGCAGTGAATTGATGTCCATATGCTGTTGTAGCTCTCTCTACATTGTTTAATTCTATGCTCTCCTTTTTAGAGTGTCCGCTGAATTTTTAATCAGAGAATATGATGCTTTGAAAACTCTGTATGGCATTTCCATGAGGTTTATCTGAAGACAGCATGAAGTAATTGAACACTTGCAAACCACCCTTCATGCTTAGCAGCTAAGCAACCAAAGTGAGTCCCCTAAATTAGAGGCTGTCAGTTATTTAAGAACATGAATAAAGTGTTATCCAGATGCGAATGGCTCCAGCAAATACTGTAACTACATAAAATATTTACACCTATGAAACCTTCTAAAAACTTAGTTTTAGTTAAGGCAAGTTTAGAAAGGTACCTTAGTAAAGATAAGTTTCACATGTAGCTGTGGTCTGCAGGGAGACAATGTCTGAGGCTATAGAATTCTTTTCTTTCCTAGTTTTACCATTGTGAACAATTAAGATCTTTCTAAATGCCATAACCTTCAGGAATCTAGCTTTTTCTATTAATCACTAGTTTACTGTCACTTCTGTACTACTACAGGGTAACAACACTTGATACTTAATGATATGGAAAATAGTTCAAAAGATGTTCTTATGGTAAGTTAGTGTTAGATTTGTAGGTATTGGCCCACTTAGCCTCAGCCCTGTGGCGCTGGAGTCCTGGGCAGTCACCTCTGGCTGACAGTTTCCTCATCTGTTTGTCCCAGTGTGTCAAACAAATCCTATGACATTCTATGTGAGTTGTGATGGGAAAAAGTTTGAGTAGCTCTACATAGGAAATGTGGTAACTCTATTAACCACAGTATCCCATTCCTCATCCAAATAGGAAAATAGAACTTCTTCTGTGTCCACTGGAGACAGTTCATGTCTATTTCTTAACACCCTACTAGTATTTTACAAAACTTAATTCTCAACAAAGAGATGGAGGGGGAAGTTACCATAAAATATAATATGTGTAATATTCCTTTGGCTTGGAAATGGGTACAGTAAAAGCTCCTGAACGCCCTCAGGTTGTCTTTCTGTATAAGAAGTCTAGTAGATAACTGAGGGCTTTCACATTTTCTGGTTTCTTTATGCAGGTCTTTCTAAAGTGTCCAAAAACAGTTGCCTCAGGAGTTTACAAGCTAGTAAAGCAGCAGACATTAAATAAATAATCAAAAGTGTGATAAAGGTTGGTTACAAAGGAAAAGTTCAGGGTGTTATGGAAGCATATAGCAAGGACACATATATCAGTTCCTATAAATGTCACCCATGCTGTTTCTTTTCCCTTGGAAATATTTTGACTTCATTTCTTCCAACTCTGAAGCTAGACTAAGCATTCCATTCCTCTCAGTAAGGAAAGCCAGCCCCTAAAGCACTGATGAACAATGTGGATTTTACGGAAGATTTTTACGGGGAAGAGCGAGGATGAGGTTAAATTATATACTGCACAGTAAACAACTCAATGAAAAATCCCCATTAAAAGTTTCTTAATCTCCCATTCTGTTCTTGCCAAGTCCCCTCTGGCCTATGAAATAATTCCCTTTTTTAGAATTATTAGCACTTTACAACCATATCAGAACAAAATCAAATATACCAGACTGAGTTGATCCAGGTAGAGACATGGGTCTGGCAGTTTAGAGGGTAGCTCTTTCCTAAAGTTTAGCCAGTTCAGAAAAGGCGGCAGTGGACAGCAGGTATAGCAGTAGTTAGAAGCCACATACCAGCAATGCCTGGCAGAGATTAGACATGATTCCAAAGGCAGCAGCAGCAGATGACGAGGATTAGAGGTAGGACAGGAATGTAGCACTGGAGACCTGATCACAGAGAGGAGGGCTGGCAAAAGCGAGCACTGCCTACTGGGCAACAGTGAGCACCTACCCCCAAGGGGCTCTCTAGGGCACCAGCTGAAGAGACTGGAAATACAGGAGTTCAGTAATCAATCCTCATTCAGCTTCACCTCATCTATATTGGTGTCTACTCTCTCTGAAGCACACAAGTAATCATGCAAAGGGGGCAGATGGCCTCTTTCTCTATCCTGCCCCACCCAGTTTATCTCCCAATTTCTCTAATCTTGTATCCTGACACCCATCATTTAGCTTGGCAAAGAAGAAACCCATAATTTACCTGTATCCACCTTTCTTGGAAAACAATAGAAAGTTTAAAAATAACAAATACATGATCATGTCTCAAATAGTAATTTTCCATGTCACACAAACAATAGGAACTACTTGTGTGGAAAATTTTTCCTGGCTATTCCCCCAGGTTCAACTTAACATCTGCTTTAATTCCTAAACCTAGACATTTCTCTCCCATACTTGCACACATGCACCCTACATTTGTGTGACTTACCCTCTCTTCCTAAACATGCTACTATTAGATTTTTTTTTTGGTTTTGACTACTTGTCTACATTATGAGTGCCATTTTGAATTTTAATTTTATATTCAAGGGCCCTAGGTTACTGTCAGGATTAATATATTAAGACTTTTTTTGTCAGATAAGGAAAACAGCTAACCAAACATATAAAGGTGTATGCACCACTTGGTTTCTTGTGTGCAAGAACAAATGTGACTTGAAATGCCAAGCTCTTTTCTTGGCCTCCAGAGTAGTTTTGACTCTTTCAACCAAAAGAAATAATTCTACAATACATAGGAGCCCAGATCACCTCCATGAAGCTTCCGGCAAGTGGATCACCTCTTCCTCTGTGCTAACTCTCTACCTCCTCCATCTTCTGCTGTACTGTTATGTACTTACTTTCATGACCATTCCCCCTGCTGGTCTGGAGGCTCCAGAATGTTGGCAGTTATGATGTTCATGTTATGTGCTGGCTATTGGGACTACAGTGCATTGCAAGAAAAAACAAGTCAAACTTTACATTGTACCAATGGTCAATAGTAATAATCCTATACCTTCATCCATTTTATGTGTCCCTTTCTTTTTGACTACTGCTGGAGCACTGAAGAATTAAATCATCTTTTTTTTTTTTTTTTTAAAGCAACTTTTTACAATAGATACAAATGTTTACAAAATACTCTATATATATTAACAATTTTCACCTGGGTATCTTGAGATCCACAAGTCTACAGTTGAATAGTTGATCAATAAGCACCAAATTTTCTGCTTCCAGTTCATGAATAGCATTTTCTAATTCTTCAACTTCCTTCCTGTGAATTGCAACCTGTTCTCAGAAGGAGGGAATGAATGTTGGTACTTACTGATTCAATTCTATTAAGTTTTCTTTTCTTTCTTTTTGTTTTTTTAAGACAGAGTTTCACTTTTGTCGCCCACACTGGAGTGCAGTGGTGCAATCTTGGCTCACTGCAACCTCCACCTCCCGGGTTCAAGCAGTTCTCCTGCTTCAGCCTCCTGAGTAGCTGGGATTACAGGCATGTGCCACCATGCCCAGCTAATTTTGTATTTTTATTAGAAACAGGGTTCCTCCATGTTGGTCAGGCTGGTCTGGAACTCCTGACTTCAGGTGATCTGCCTGCCTCGGCCTCCCAAAGTGCTGGGATTACAGGTGTGAGCCACCATGCCCTGCCAAGTTCTATTAAGTTTTCTATAGTAAACTCAACTTCTAAAAGTGCATTTGCCTGAGGGGAAGACCTATTGTGTATCATTTATTACTGGGCTTGCTTTGTTCTTCCTCCCTAAAAAGGAGTAGGTGGAAATCATTTTTAGATCATCAGTAGAACTTGTCTGAATAGTTAGGCAGTTATTATAGAATAGCAGGAATTGTCCTTTTCTACCCTTCAAAAACACTGCTGAACTTAGATATGAGACAGAGGCAGAGATAACTAAGAAAATATGGCTTAATGTTTACTGAAGAAATGGACTAACTTTGGTACATCAATTGGGCCTGTAAAAAAGAAGAAGAAAAATAATGTGGCTAATTCAAATAGGAAAAAATGTCCTGGTTCTGTTGGCAGAGTTTTCATCTGTTTTTATTTTTTATTTATTTATTAATTTATTTTTTATTATACTTTAAGTTCTAGGGTACATGTGTACAACGTGCAGGTTTGTTACATATGTGTAGATGTGCCATGTCCATGTGCTGCACCTATTAACTTGTCATTTACATTAGGTATATTTCCTAATACTATCCTTCCCTCCTCCCCACACCCCATGACAGGCCCCGGTGTGTGATGTTCCACATTCTCTGTCCAAGTATTCTCATTGTTCAATTCCCACCTATGAGTGAGAACATGTGGTGTTTGGTTTTCTGTCCCTGCGATAGTTTGCTTAGAATGATGGTTTCCAGTTTCATCCATGTCCCTACAAAGGACATGAATTCATCCATTTTTATGGCTGCATAGTATTCCATGGTGTATATGTGCCACATTTTCTTAATCCAGTCTATCATTGATGGACATTTCAGTTGGTTCCAAGTCTTTGCTATTGGGAATAGTGCTGCAATAAACGTACGTGTGCATGTGTCTTTATAGCAGCATGATTTATAATCCTTTGGGTATATACCCAGTCATGGGGTTGCTGGGTCAAATGGTATTTCTAGTTCTAGATCCTTGAGGAATCGCCACACTGTCTTCCACAATGGTTGAACCAGTTTACAGTCCCACCAACAGTGTAAAAGTATTCCTATTTCTCCACATCCTCTCCAGCACCTGTTGTTTCCTGACTTTTTAATGATCACCATTCTGACAGGTATGAGATGGTATCTCATTGTGGTTTTGATTTGCATTTTTCTGAGGGCCAGTGATGATGAGCGTTTTTTCATGTGTCTGTTGGCTGCATAAATGTCTTCTTTTGAGAAGTGTCTGTTCATATCCTTTGCCCACTTTTTGATGGGGTCGTTTGATTTTTCCTTGTAAATTTGTTTAAGTTCTTTGTAGATTCGGGATATTAGCCCTTTGTCAGATGGGTAGATTGCAAAAATTTTCTCCCATTCTGTAGGTTGCCTTTTCACTCTGACAATAGCTTCTTTGGCTGTGCAGAGGCTCTTTAGTTTAATTAGATCCCATTTGTCAATTTTGGCTTTTGTTGCCATTGCTTTGGGTGTTTCAGACATGAAGTCTTTGCCCATGCCTATGTCCTGAATGGTACTGCCTAGGTTGTCTTCTAGGGTTTCTGTGGTTTTAGGTCTTACATTTAAGCCTTCAATCCATCTTGAATTAATTTTTGTATAAGGTGTAAGGAAGGGATCCAGTTTCAGTTTTCTACATATGGCTAGCCAGTTTCCCCAGCACCGTTTATTAAATAGGGAATCCTTTCCCCATTTCTTGTTGTTTTCAGGTTTGTCAAAGATCAGATGATTGTAGATGTGTGGTATTATTTCTGAGGGCTCTGTTCTGTTCCATTGGACTACATCTCTGTTTTGGTACCAGTACCATGCTGTTTTGGTTACAGTAGCCTTGTAGTATAGTTTGAAGTCAGGTAGTGTGATGCCTCCAGCTTTGTTCTTTTTGCTTAGGATTGTCTTGGCAATGTGGGCTCTTTTTTGATTCCATATGAACTTTAAAGTAGTTTTTTCCAATTCTGTGAAGAAAGTCATTGGTAGCTTGATGGGGATGGCATTGAATCTATAAATTACCTTGGGCAGTATGGCCATTTTCACAATATTGATTCTTCCTATCCATGAGCATGGAATGTTCTTCCATTTGTTTGTGTCTTCTTTTATTTCATTGAGCAGTGGTTTGCAGTTCTCCTTGAAGAGGTCCTTCACATCCCTTGTAAGTTGGATTCCTAGGTACTTTATTCTCTTTGAAGCAATTGTGAATGGGAGTTCACTCATGATTTGGCTCTCTGTTTGTCTCTTACTGGTGTATAAGAATGCTTGTTATTTTTGCACATTAATTTTGTATCCTGAGACTTTGTTGAAGTTGCTTATGAGCTTAAAGAGATTTGGGCCTGAGATAATGGGGTTTTCTAAATATACAATCATGTCATCTGCAAACAGGGACAATATGACTTCCTCTTTTCCTAATTGAATACTCTTTATTTCTATCTCCTGCCTGATTGCCCTGGCCAGAACTTCCAACACTATGTTGAGTAGGAGTGGTGAGAGAGGGCATCCTTGTCTTGTGCCAGTTTTCAAAGGGAATGCTTCCAGTTTTTGCCCCTTCAGTATGATATTGGCTGTGGGTTTGTCATAAATAGCTCTTATTATTTTGGGATACGTCCCATCAATACCTAATTTATTGAGAGTTTTTAGCGTGAAGGGCTGTTGAATTTTGTCGAAGGCCTTTTCTGCATCTATTGAGATAATCATGTGGTTTTTGTCTTTGGTTCTATTTATATAATGGATTACATTGATTGATTTGTGTATGTTGAACCAGCCTTGCGTCCCAAGGATGAAGCCAACGTGATCGTGGTGGATAAGCTTCTTGATGTGCTGCTGGATTCGGTTTGCCAGTATCTTGTTGAGGATTATTGCATGGATGTTCATCAGGGATATTGGTCTAAAATTATCTTTTTTTGTTGTATCTCTGCCAGGCTTTGGTATCAGGATGATGCTGGTCTCATAAAATGAGTTAGGGAGGATTCCCTCTGTTTCTGTTGATTGGAATCATTTCAGAAGGAATGGCACCAACTCCTCTTTGAAACTCTGGTAGAATTTGGCTGTGAATCCGTCTCATCCTGGACTTTTTTTGGTTGGTACGTTATTAATTATTTGCCTCTATTTCAGAGCCTGCTATTGGTCTATTCAGGGATTCAACGTCTTTCTGGTTTAGTCTTTGGAGGATGTATGTGTCCAGGAATTTATCCATTTCTTCTAGATTTTCTGGTTTATTTGCATAGAGATGTTTATAGTATTCTCTGATGGTAGTTTCTATTTCTGTGGGATTGGTGGTGATATCCACTTTATCATTTTTTATTGCGTCTATTTGATTCTTCTCTCTTTTCTTCTTTATTAGTCTTGCTAGCAGTCTATCAATTTTGTTCATCTTTTCGAAAAACCAGCTCCTGGATTCATTGATTTTTTGAAGGGTTTTTTTGTGTCTCTATCTCCTTCAGTTCTGCTCTGATCTTAGTTATTTCTTGCCTTCTAGCTTTTGAATGTGTTTGCTCCTGCTTCTCTAGTTCTTTTAATTGTGATGTTAGGGTGTCGGTTTTAGATCTTTCCTGCTTTCTCTTGTGGTCATTTAGTGCTATAAATTTCCCTCTATACATTGCTTTAAATGTGTCCCAGAGATTCTGGTATGTTGTGTCTTTGTTCTCATTGGTTTCAAAGAACATCTTTATTTCTGCCTTCATTTTGTTATGTACCCAGCAGTCATTCAGGAGCAGATTGTTCAGTTTCCATGTTGTTGAACGGTTTTGAATGAGTTTCTTAATCCTGAGTTCTAGTTTGATTGCACTGTGGTCTGAGAGACAATTTGTTATAATTTTTATTCTTTTACATTTGCTGAGGAGTGCTTTACTTCGAACTATGTGGTCAATTTTGGAATAAGTGCGATGTGGTGCTGCGAAGAATGTATATTCTGTTGATTTGGGGTGGAGAGTTCTGTAGATGTCTGTTAGGTCCACTTGGTGCAGAGTGAGTTCAATTCCTGGATATCCTTGTTAACTTTCTGTCTCGTTGATCTGTCTAATGTTAACAGTGGGGTGTTAAAGCCTCACATTATTATTGTGTGGGAGTCTAAGTCTCTTTGTAGGTCTCTAAGGACTTGCTTTATGAATCTGGGTGCTCCTGTATTGGGTATGTATATATTTAGGATAGTTAGCTCTTCCTGTTGAATTGATCCATTTACCATTATGTAATGGCCTTCTTTGTCTCTTCTGATCTTTGATGGTTAAAGTCTGTTTTATCAGAGACTAGGATTGCAACCCCTGCTTTTTTTGTTGTTTTCCATTTGTTGGTAGATCTTCCTCCATCCCTTTATTTTGAGCCTATGTGTGTCTCTGCATGTGAGATGGGTCTCCTATATAAAGCACACTGATGGGTCTTGACTCTTTATCCAATTTGCCAGTCTGTGTATTTTGATTGGAGCATTTAGCCCATTTACGTTTAAGGTTAATATTGTTATGTGTGAGTTTGATCCTGTCATTATGATGTTAGCTGATTATTTTGCTCGTAAGTTGCTGCAGTTTCTTCCTAGCATCGATGGCCTTTACAATTTGGCATATTTTTGCAGTGGCTGGTACTGGTTGTTCCTTTCCATGTTTAGTGCTTCCTTCAGGAGCTGTTGTAGGGCAGGCCTGGTGGTGACAAAATCTCTC